TTTTTACAAGCAGCTTACATGGTAACTTCTATATTTTTCAACATCGCAGTCTCATTTTTCCTTTTTTCCAGATCAAATGGCATCTACGTTCCAATGGAGTCTAGGTAAGTGTTTCTCTTTGCATTGCTATCAGCACTTTGGTTGTGTAACATTTCCATTCTTCAATGGACAATTATCAGTGATATTGTTTCTTTACTCTGCAGTTCCAGAGCAGGTGGTTTGCTTTTTTCTCTTCTCAGAACGCTGGTTGTTTGATCGTTGTCTCTTCAGTTTGACATTCATATCTGTCAATGGTCAGCTTGTGCTAAAAAAACTGAAGTTAATTCCTCATAAGCAGGTCTGTCTGGCGGGGTTATTGCTGGAATATCTATTGGCGTCGTAGCTGGACTTCTGCTGTTGGCAGCTTCTATATATTTTGGATATTTCCGAAAGAAAATGGCTGAAACAAATTAATCTCTCAAGAGTTCCAAGAGTTCACTGTTGAAGAAGAGAAGGGTAAGACTTTTTATTCCTGTAATTACATGTAATTGATCCAATCAGCTCCTTCCTTTTGTCCTTCTACCATTTCTGAAAGTTAACTCTGAGTATTTTCAAGGGTTCTTTGCTCATGTTTGGAAGAGTGTACTTATTTTGATTCAATCACTCCCTTCCTCTTTCAAACCTTCTACCATTTCCCTTTAGACATGGCTAAAGAAAAGGTGTTGAAGATTTTACTTGATTCAATAGTTCTTCTATAACTTACTTTACAATACGTATAATATCCAGCTCAAAAGACCTCATTTGACTGTTTAATTATGTCACATTATCCTTATCTGTAGTCGACAATCCCAAAAGGGAAAATTTTACTGTATCTGGTGCTGTTACTAAAATTTTTTATGTAGATATTTTTTGTTCGTCATTCAGGGTGGCCCCATGTTCCTAGAAAATAGTGAACGAGAAATATTGGGGTCTTGGGAGAAATAAACTAATCGATGATCCCTTCTAACCAGCCCTTGTGTTTTCGTTGACATGACTTGAAAGCTGTTCCAGCTGCACTAGATTATCCTTTGCTGTGCCTTTCATTGCAATTTATTTTCTTTCTATTGCACATTCTAAGAAATTAATTAAAGATAGTAATTCCACATATTGTCACTTTACTTTCTGTTGTTAGATGAAGCCTCTGCTAATGTTGAATCTGAAACTTCAGGATATGGTGGTCCTACTGGCATCACAGTGGACAAATCAGTGGAGTTCTCATATGAAGAACTAGCTACTGCCACCAATAACTTCAGTTTGGCTAATAAAATTGGTCAAGGAGGCTTTGGTGCTGTCTATTATGCAGAGCTGAGAGGCGAGGTAGTAACGCATATATTGTTCTGGTTTGTTAATAATTGATTGATGAATGTTTGGGTCTGATTAAATTATTTGTTTTTTGCCAATTTAAGAGTAAAGATGAGACCATATCTACTCTGTCTGTGATATGCATGAGCAAGTCAAACAGAATCTTCTTTTGTTTGTGTCAATTGTGGAAGGGTAGCTGGAATTGATAGATTAGCAGGATTAAGAGAAACTGCTTTAGTATACCTTAACAGCCCAACTGAGGAAAGAACATGAATACAGGGTAGGGGAACAGTTTGGACAATATTTATCCTTCACACAGAATCTCTCTCTCTCTCTTTTTTCCCCCAACTCTTGGATTTTGTTTCTGTTTTGCTGAGAACATTTTTTGTGGTTTTACATATAATGAAAGATATAATGACATGATACCTAAATCAGTGAATGAATTAATGAAAGAAAAAAATGTGTTGTTGTTGAGGAGAATATTCATGCAGAATTACATACTACTTGATAAAGCTCTTATTATGGATCAATAATTGCTTGTGCTTTATAGCTAGACCATGTTTTCCCTTAAATGTGAATTGTATATTCTCCTAAATAAGCTCACTCGAATGATTTTTCCATGCAGAAAGCTGCAATCAAGAAGATGGATATGCAAGCAACAAGAGAATTTCTAGCTGAATTAAAAGTCCTAACAAATGTTCATCACCTTAACCTGGTATACTAAGTCACTCAAACTATAAGAATTTACAGTGCTTTTAAATACCTGGTGATGTAGGAAGCAGGTGGAAAATTTCAATGGAAAAAGTGCATTATGTCACTGCCATTGTTACTTCTCTTACGAGCATTTGTTTGGCCTATTATTGTTGTGTTTTGTGCTTCTGTTTGTGATCAAAGACATAAACGCAGATGGTGCCATCTGTATGAGTAGAGATTAATTGACATTGGTGTCTAGCCATTGAATAACTTCCTTCGGTATGAGTTCTTAACTGAATCCACTAATCCACTGTTGTTTGGTATCACATCTATCTATCCCAAAATTGAGGTACAAAAAATTTTAAAATAGACAGAAGATGAATCTATTTGATTTTATAGCTGTTGCTATTTTTCTTAAATTTTTCATGCTTGATTGACGTGGAAATTACTTCTAATTCACCGGTTGGAATTTTTTTTTTTTTAAAAAGCCCGCCTTTTCTATATAGTACGTATCTGTGTATGTGGAAGGAAATCATAATTTGAATACTTAGAACTGTAGGTCAAATATTAAAGAATACTTGTTCAATTAATAAATATGTATGTCTTAATGCCATGTAGGTGCGCTTAATTGGATATTGCACTGAGAACTCTCTTTTCCTGGTTTATGAATACATTGATAATGGAAACTTAAGTCAACATCTGCGTGGCACAGGTTAGATCAGAACTTAATGTGGTTTCTTCTTCTTCTTCTTCTTTTTTGATCAGCTAAAGTAGTTTCTTCTACTAACTCTGCATTTGGATTGCAATCATGTAATACAATGTCATAATGTTGCCAGGAAGAGATCCGCTGCCATGGTCTACCCGAGTTCAAATTGCTCTGGATTCTGCCAGAGGCCTTGAATATATTCACGAGCATACAGTTCCTGTGTATATCCACCGTGACATAAAGTCGGCAAATATATTGATAGATAACAGCTTCCATGGGAAGGTTGAAATAATCAGGATGTTTGTCTTATATATTAATTTTTGGGGCTATTATAGATGTTCCTAAATATTCATATTTGCAGGTTGCAGATTTTGGATTAACTAAACTGGCTGAAGTGGGAAACTCATCACTTCCCACTGGTCATCTTGTGGGAACATTTGGATATATGCCGCCAGAGTATGCATCATCTGCCCTTTTTGGATTCAGAACCTTTATCTTTATCTTTTCTTCTCTTCCCCCCCCCCCCCCCCGGGTGCCCACGGGAGGGCTTGTTTAGGAGGACAGTGTAGGTGGTGGAAAAACCCAAACCCTTGTTTGGATGGTTAAAACTTCAGAATAGTGTGGGTACGGACAAGCTTAAAAATGCCTCCTCCTCATGCCATACCCCTTTTTTTTTTTTTAATTGTGATTCAACCCTTTGTCATTCGAATACTCTCACTTTCCTTCTTTTCTATACAATTAATGTTGAAAGCTCATACTTTGGACCCACTCTAATCCACAGATGACTTAGTTAACTTCCAAATAGGGACAGGGCTGTTGATTGGCATCGAAGTTGGGGAAAGGAGAGAAATTGAGGAAGAAAAAGGATCAGAGAGAGATGAAAACTCATTGTATTGATTCTCTCAAAACTGTATGAAAGATCTACGGCCAATGGCTTACAAAGTGAGCTGTAAAACATATGGCTAAATCAAGAAATGAACAATAATAACAAGAATTCTTGATATTAAGAGGTGTCTTCGGTTATTTATCATTATTTCGATTAAATGTATAAGCAATATATATATATATATATAGAGAGAGAGAGAGAGAGAGAACTTTCCCTTTTCTTCCCACTCCACGCTATCTTACCCCACTATATTGATGACAACTGCGCTCTCTGAAATTCCCAAACAAGCCTCGAGTCTCTTTTTTCAATGAAAGAGAACGCAGCCATTCTAGTTTCATTGTTAGCAAGTGCATCTTATCTTGCTTGCTTATTTAATTACATATAAGTTTTTGAAGTATGATTGAATAGGGAACAGTGTATATTCATGTTGTTCAGGAATACATTTTAGGGTTCATTAGAGGTAAAAACTTCACTATTACGTCATTATGTTAATATTAAGAGTATTATGCTCTTATCCACAGATATGCTCAGTATGGTGATGTCTCTCCTAAGGTTGATGTCTACGCTTTTGGAGTTGTTCTTTTTGAACTTATTTCCGCCAAGGAAGCCATCGTCAAGACAACTCAATCTGATGCTGACTCAAAGGGCCTTGTAGCAATGGTCATTCCTGAATCTTCATCTCTTAGATATTTGTAATATTATTATCATTATAACATTATTAATAGTTTAAGATCAATTAGCATTATGTTTTTACAGTAATCTAAACTTAAGGCTCCATGCATTGTCAGTAGTCATTATTCATATTTCATGTAATGCAGTTTCATGGAGTTCTTAATCAGCCTGCTCCTACGGAAGATCTTCGCAAATTGGTTGACCCAAGGCTGGGGGATGACTACCCTATTGACTCAGTTTTGAAAGTATGTGCATTGGGTATTAGAATTCTCTTAAGTTTTATTGAAACTTTTGTGATAAACTCTGGAGGGATAAACACACGAGACCTGCTATTGAATTGGTGGTGTATCCTATTTAGTTCTGAAATACCGGTTACAAATTAATTTTTTTTTTATTCCTTCATAAAATTCACCATTTTAATTTCTCTAAGCAATTTGCAAGATCCATACATTTCCAGACTATGAGAATGTTTGTGTTGCTGATTTCAATTATTCAATGCATGGCTTTTGTCTTGCAGATGGCTCAACTTGCAAAAGCATGCACACAAGAAAATCCCCAACTGCGTCCAACTATGAGATCTATTGTAGTTGCTCTCATGACACTTCATTCTTCCACTGCTGATGATTGGGACGTTGGTGCCTTGTACAATAATCCCAATCTCATGAATCTGATGTCGGGAAGATAAAAATGTGGATGCAAATATTATAATCTTGCTTTCAATACTTTGTTAGCAATTGAGAAATTTAGTGAAGCACAAGATATCTGTAAATGGGGTTCTGGTACTGATTTTTGCTTGCTACAAAATGAGACAAAGGATTATGTTCGGATTTGGATCACCTCAATTGCTCAATTATTCAAGAGAGCAGAAAGATGGAAATAAAGTGGGAACCACACCAGGAAGTGCACCCTGCCTCTGTCTATTTTCGATCCACTTGAACAATTAAGCAATTGAGGGGATCTTTATTCAACCAAGTTATCCATAATCAGAAGGCATTCGTTTCTTCTTGTACAAAAATCTAGTGTGGCTCAATGGTGCTGCTTGGGAGAGGCATTAGGTCCAAGAAGAGGGGTAGGACAAAGGATTGACGATTCCCAGTTCTTGCATTCTTTCTCCTTTCCTTTTCATTTGTAATGATGTCTGAAATGGATTCGTTTTGCATTTTATATTCTGTAAATTATTCATGTGCAGCCAGTTCTGCTCTCTCTAAGGTTAGTGTGGTTTTGATCATAAATTAGTTTATGTAAGCTCTGTTTTGTTACTATTTAATAGTGCGTGTGTGTGTGTCTGCTTCCTTAATTGTCTGCTTTATAGTTTCAAGTTGGATGGGCTCCGATTAATGATTAATTTGGGTTTCTTCATTGAATTACACATAGAAAAGTAAAGATATTCTATCATCTAAATAGTCTGTGTTAACACAGCTTGCAAAGACGAGTGATTTGATTTGCTGGTAAGATAGACATACTTCCTTTGGTCCTAAACGTCAGAGTTAAGAGTTAACAGAGAGGTTTACTTGTGATTCTATATTTTATGATTTGAATTAGGAATTTATGAGTTTTTTATTATTTAAAAAATTTAAAATATATGTAAAAGATGCCCCCGGGTTCACCATGGGCTTGTGAGGTTGAAGATTGGATTTTGCCAATGAAGTCCTTCTGGGATTGGACCCACCTTTTTTTAACGTGGGATTTGCATCATTGTCCCTTATCGGAACCTGAAATAAAAAACTAAAGGGTCAAGTTTGGTAGAAGGAACTAGTCTTTTACAATAGTGTATTATTTATTTATTTTTTTTAAAAAAGAACCTCATAGAAAAGCTAATTGAAACTGAAAGACATGCTTATTTATTGATTTATCTACTAAAACAATAATGATTTCCTATTGATGTGTGGTCATTTGCAGTAACTATAGAAAGAATATTTTGCACAATGAAAAATCGAAACACAATCTGGCCACTTAACCCTCGTTGAAAGGGCATCAGTGAACTCTGGTCATCTGCACAGCAAGAGGAAAGAGCTCTGTCCAGCTATCCAATGGAACGACTTAAGGAGCAGGATATATTTCAGCTTGGCCCTAAAATGACGTCGTTTTAAGGTTTGCTTCAGGACATTCCGAGCCGTTCATGATAAACTGCCAGCAATCACATCCATTAGTTTTTCCCCAGAATTGTAGCGAGTAATTCAAGGAGCCTAGGAGTGTTTATGATTATGTATTTAGATAATTACCACTATTTTATAATTAATAATAAAACTAATTATGAAGACATTTAAAGAAAATAAGCTTATAAAATTATATTATTTTGTTTAAATGAAATGCTTGCAATTGGGACATATTTATATAATGAATGAATTGGAGATAATGTAAGGATGCCAGTGTTTTTGTAACCTAATGACATGTATTTTTTTTTTTTTTGGTAACTGAAAGGTTGCTGTTCAATCTTGATTTCTCATGCCGTTAGTACCTACCTTTTTAATTTAGGAAAGAAAAGAAACTATTGTAAGGATGCCTAGCACCTAGTAAGGGTAAATTGGATGTCTTTTAAAAAATTTCAAGAATATTGTTCTAAAAATTAAACATTGTATCCTCAGATACATAATATAAGAAGTCAGTTAACTTTTTTCACATACCAAAAAATGAAAGTTTAGTCGTGTATCCTGAAATGATAAAGTTTTCCTATTTATCTCTAATTAAAAAAAGGATAATTAATCCACAGCTTATTATAGTTTCAACTAATTTTGAATCAGGTCCTTATAGTTTTCTTTCTTTTTATCAGGTCCTTATACTTTTACTTGTTTTTAATTAGGTCCTTGTATTTATTTTTCTTTTTATCAAGTCCTTATAAGTTCACCTTATTTTTATTAAGTCCCTGAATTTTTTATTCTTTATTTTATAAATTCTAATAGTACTATTATATAAACATAAAATAGTATATATTATTTAATATTAGTTTATAAACAATAATATTCTAAAGATATTGAATTATTATAATGATTTTAATTTTTTCAGCAAAAAAATTAATTGTTCTAAAAAAATTTCCTAAATTAATTAATTCTATTAATTTTTTATTACATAATTATTAATTTAATTTAATTATTAATATTTTATATTTCAGTATTAATCTATTTAATTAAGCTTATATTTAATTAATAAATAAAAATTAAAACTACATGGACCTGATTAAAAATTTAGTGAAATTATAAGGACTTAATTAAAAGAAAAATACATACAAGGACCTAATTAAAAAGAGATAAAAGTATAAGGACCTGATAAAAAAAAAACTATAGGGACCTGATTCAAAATTCGTTGAAACTATAAAGACTTACAGATTAATTAACCCTTAAAAAAATCATAAAGTTGCTTTTAATGTTACACTTTTATTATCTCTCATATTTCTCCTCTCTCTCCTATATTTAGTATGGGTAAAAGTGAAAACAATAATTTTAATTATCTTAAGGGATAATTAATATAAAGGCCCTTATAATTTAACTTGATTTTGAATTAGGTTCCTAAACCTTTTTTTTTTTCAATTTTATTACATCCTTTTACTTTCCACCGTCATCTATGTCAGTCCTTGCGGCTAAACACTGAGTAATACTGTTTTCATTAGCCCATTAAGTGTTAAGTCTGACCGAACACTCTATCCCTCCCCTTCTCTCAATGCCCAACATCATCTCCTTCCACACCATACTCCCGACTTGCAAATGATAATGCACAATTGCTTCGAGGAGCCGCTTCATGGTGGAAGGGGGGCAGTCTCTAGCAAGGGACGGTGGATGATGCAGTCAAGGAGATCTAGGAGCTCGCAGAGCCAGAGAACAACAGAGGAAATCGCCGTTGTTGAAGACGTCAAAAATCTGAAGAACATGAGGGTATGGGGAAGAGAGCCATGTACTTGGGTTCATTTTGGAGGCAGTCACGATGGAGGGAATCGGTGAGAAGGCGCTCCTCGATGACTTTGCAGGCAAAGAAGTCATTAGAGAAGGGGTGGAAGAAGTGGAAGACAGTGCTGAACCGACCATGACAGTCTCTGGGCATAACTGTAACTGTCCTTTAAGTACTTGGAGTGATTAGCACTTTCATTAAGTAAAACACTTTGTTTGGCTCTGTTTCAAACACAAAAAACAGAGGCCCTCAAAACTTCAATGGAACACCAACAGTTCTCACTGAGATTATATATACACAGACACACTCGCACAGAGAGGGGGGGGAGAGATCATCATTGTAAACAGCTTTGGTTTAGTTCTTTGGCTGTAGCTAATAAGTGGGGAGGTTTGAGTATCAAAAGATTTTTACTCGACAGAAAAATAAAAGCAACAAACCAGTATTGAAAAACAAAAGCAAGTAAAAGTGACATCCCCTAAAATCTTCTAAACTCCATCCATCATTACATTTTAGCCAGAAAAAAAATGTCAGAGAGGGTCCCTTGCAACTGAGGAAGGAAAGGTTTTTATGGAGAGGTTGGAAGGGGATCGGAAGAATGACAGTGAAGGAAAGAGCAGAGCTTCATCAAACATATTCGGCTAGTGGAAATTTTTAACGTTGTTAATCAAGTCTAACGGTAAGGACTAAGGAATATGGCTATAAAAGGTTAAAGGAGCTAATAAAAAGAAAAAAATTCTAAGGACCTGATTTAAAATTTAACAAAACTATGAGGACCTTCAAATTAATTTTCCCTTATCTTAACAACATCCTATATTTTAGAATACAATTTTCTTGTAAGTGACGTCTTATATTATGGAGAAAAAGAGTAATAAAAAACCATTGGGAAATCGGACACAAAATGAGCTATATAAAGAGATAAATAGCTGAGAGAAGACGAAATAATACAACGAAATTTATTCTGATTTAATCCAACCACTTTATCTTATACATTTAATTTTCAAATAAACGATTTAAGATTGTCAATTAATCTATTTAAGTTATAAGTTAATCGTGTATCATCAAAATAAGGATACTCAACTGTTACCTTTATGGTTTTATAATCCAAAATATTTATAATATAAAAGGTTATCAGTTAAAAAAACATAAAACATAATTTTTATAATATAACGCGTTTGTTTATGATAAAGAAAAAAAAATGAATGATAATTCTATAAAATAACAATACATTTGAGTTTCCTCAAGGTGCCATTTTTGTCAACGTCCTTTTAAAGGTGCTGACCGTCGAATTTTATAAACTTTAAATGTTAAAGATGTATCTCGCACTTTGAAATATTTTCTCATATGCATCCAGCTCTTTACAGTGCATTCAATACTTTGAAATATTATTTTAGATGCATTCAGTACTGTAAAATATTTTTTTGGTGCATTCAACACCTCAAAATATTTTTTAAGGTACATTCAGCACTCAAAAATATTTTTTGGTACATCCAACACCAAAGCAAAAAAAAATTACTTCAAGGTATTGGACGCACCTAAAAAATATTTTAGAGTGCTGAATGCATTATAATATATTTCGGAATGTTAGATATATCTAAAAAAATACTTTGAAATGCTGAATACACCTTAACCGTCTAAATATTACTACTTACAACTTTTGATATATGAGTTAGATAAAAAGAAGAAGAAAAAAAACAAAGAATACATCGGTTGGCTTGTGTGTTAAAACTGTGAAAAAATGGAGAGAAAGAGGAGGAAATTTCATACGGTTGGACATTATCCGACAAGCTTGTCCTTTGGAACGACATTAATAAATCTTAATAATCCTTAATTAGTGTATAAATAAATAAATAAATGTGGATTCAATCAATCAATAAGATTCGCCACGTCATGTGGTGATCACCTTCCTAGCTTTAATCTTTCAATATTCATATGCATGCGTGACTCCTCAACGTAACAGAATAATAGCGCACAGAAAATAAATTAAAGTCAGCTCTTTACAAGGAACATCGAATCTCATTGAATATTCAACTTAATCTTTTGAAATACTTATTAATCGCTGTATTTAAAATCTTAATTAAAGATGGAAATGGAACTACCCCTTTTATTATTATGATTATGATTGTCCATTATTGCACAGATTCTTATTACACACCTCTTGCAATTTATTTTGACATGATCTTCACTTTTTTATTGACTAGTACAAAATATAAAATTCATAATAAATTTATGATGAATTTGTGATAAATACGTATTCATCATAAATTCAACCCAGAAAAATTTTTGAGATAAGAAAATTCAATCAGAGTTAAAATAACTTGAGACCATATTTTAATAATTTTCAAACATTAAAATCCACAGGCCATGAATCCATAATAAATCCTAT